GTGTGAAGAGATAAACCAAAGAACTTACATGTATATATGCACAACCAATTGATAGGGATACTAGGCTGGGGAAGGCAGGAGGGGAATGGGAGAGGAAAGGAGAGGGTCAATTGGGTAAAAAGGGGGGACTTCTGTAATACTTTCAACAATAAAAAATAGAATAAAATAAAGCACAAGCTTCCAACTGCTCTACAGAAAAAAATAATAATAAAGTTAGAGAATAATAGTGAAGGAGCACGTTTTCTCCCCTGCCTTTTCAGCTTCTTACAAACCAGGCTCGTTTTTTTTAGGCCTCCATAGTAGGAAGCTGAGCAGAACTGTTTTGAAGTAAAATATGTCTTAAATATTTGAAGACAGTGAAAATGCTAAATTGGTTTGTCTTCCTTTGGGAATTTTAATTTTTTAAAAAATTGTACAATTCAGCCTGTATAAATGAGCATATTTTTATTATTTTTTTGTTAATCCACTGATTTTTTTAAATAGAGTAGAAGGGAGGAAGGAAGAGAGAGAGAGAGAAACACAGATGTGAGAGAGACACATTAATTGGTAGCCTCCTGCATGACCCTGACTGGGGCCAGGGATTTAACTGGAAACCCAGGTAAGTGCCTGTGACCCTTCAGTCCACGGTCTGACACTCTAATTGTTGAGCCAAAATGGCCAGGGTGATGAACATATTTTTAAAGACACATGTGTACAGCCTTGGCCAGTGTAGGTCAGTAGTTAGAGCATTGGCTCACAGACCAAAGGGTGACTGGTTCAATTCCAAGTCAAAGGCACATACCTGGGTGATAGGTTTGATCCCCAGCCCTTGTCAGGGCATGCACTAGAGGCAACCAATCGATGTGTCTCTCTCATATCAATGTTTCTCTCCTTTCTCTCTCACTCCCCCTCCTGCTCCCTTCCATTCTCTCTAAAAATCAATGGAAAAAACATCCTCAGGTGAGGATAAAAATAAATAAATAAATAAAGATTCATGTGTATAGCCCTGGCCAGTTTGGCTCAGTGGTAGAGCGTCAGCCCTGGGACCAATGAGTCACGGGTTCGATTCCGGCAAAGGGCACGTACCTCGGTTGCAGTTTGTCCTTAGCCCTAGTCAGGGTCATGCGGGAGGTAACCAGTCGATGTGTCCCTCTCACATCAATGTTTCTCTCTCTCTCTTTCTCTCCCTCTCTTTCCCTCCCACTCTATCTGAAGATAAATAGGAAAAAAAAGATGCATGTGTACATGTGTGTCTTAGGGTAATGATACCACATTCTAGCTCAGGTAGAGTAGCTAACACTCTATTATAATGTGCCTCATTGTACAAGGGCACCTCTTTTTGCAAAATAAATATGCTCCAGAAAAGTTTCACATAACTTAGAGTTATACAAATACTATTATATTTTAAAATGCCTGAAATATCAATATTTAAATGAATTGTATGGTAAGTCTTCTTTTAATTTAATAATTGATACCTAATTTGTCTGTTTTTAAATTTAACTTCTCATATATTGTTAACACAGTTAACCAGAGTCCAAAATAGCAGGATTACAAATAACCTGAAATTTTTTCCAAGTTCTATGCAATGGTATTTTATACTCAAAATATAAAATACTGACCAATTTGACAGTGTGAAATCTTAAAATGTTACATTATGGTCATTCTGGTTTTATTGCTAAGCATACTTTATTGATTGTGTTTTAGTTCTCCAGGTGGTTGCTGGTCCACCTGAATTAGATTCCTGTGGGAATGTTTATTAAAATGCAGATTCAGCATGTCTTAGTTTTTCAATCAAAGGTTAGTTCAGGAAAGGAAAACTCGGGTCCTTGGGTCCCACCCAGACCTACTAAGTCAGAATCGCTGGGGGTAGGGAGTGGAGCTCCGTATTTTTTACATGTTCACCAGGTCATTCTTATGCATGCCTAGGTGGAGAAACTACTGGCCTGGAGTTTATATAGTACCTCTCTAATAACAAAACTATTCAATTAGTGAAAGTGTCCCATTCCTGGACAAATTTTGAATTTCAGGCATTTACTGTTTCAGAGGTATGAGTTGTAATTTGTTACAACATAATCTCACCTATAAACGCTAATAGATTTTTCTGCTTTTCAAACTATAATCTTCCCCTTTTACTTTCCATAATTAAGACCCCTTTTAAAAAATCAACAGGAACTATAAGAACAAATTTTTATAGGTTAAACTATAGGGCACACTGTCTGTTAAGGATGGCTCTCCTATTGACATTTCCAGATTAGCTTTTAGTGAAAAGCACACAGAGAGACACATGCCCCCACTATTTCAATTTGCAGCTCCAGCTGAACATCAGATACTCAAATAACAACAATTATGCACCTTTCTTCCTTTGTTAATGTATTCCCACCTGGCCACCCACAGTCAGCTAATCTACAGAGAAAGTTCATAGCTACCCTTCTTAAATAGGAGTTCCTACTCTTACGTTACATAGAAAATACCTTCGCTTCACCCATGGACAATCTGAATCTTGGCTTGAGCATTAATAGCTCATCAGTCTGAAATATTTCACTAAATGTAGATACATGAAGCACAAAAAGTCACACAGACCCTATATATTGCTTTTCCAAGCCATCAAAATACAAGCTCCCGACCCTTTCCTCTCTCCACCCCCTGGCTTGTGTTTAAAACTAAAATTCCATTCTTCTGGTGACTGGTTTTCTTGCCTCACCACAGAAAGTGGACTGGGTGAGTTCTCACATCACATGTTTAACAGAGGGCACCAAACTGTGTCTGTGGGACACCTGCCCTTGGCTGAGAGGGAGCCCTGCCAGCTTAAGAGCTGTAAAGGGACATCCCTAGGCAGCTTTCAGCTTGTGGGAATCCAGCCCACGTCATGCCCCAGCTTTGCCAGGGCTCTTAAGGAGGCCAACTATGGAATTTGTAACCTAGGCAACAGGTATGAGGCTTGGCCACCGCTGGCTTGTTGAGGCATCCATCTTTAATCCCTTTTCCTCTCTTTGCTTCTCTCTCCCTTCACCACCTCTCAAAATAAAAAGAGAAAAGAAAAAGAAACAAAAGAACAACAAATACATCTGACCTCTTTGCTACCCTAAAATATATATTTTAAAAAATGAACCATCCTAAATCTCCTTCCTACTTGCCAGCAATTACAACTGGGAAGTCATTTGATATTGAAAATATGATCCAACCTCTAGAGTTAGGTTTTGGGGTTTAACAGCAGTGTGTGTAGATCCAAATGAGGTTTTTGTTTGTTTTTCTTTTCTTTCCCCCCAGCTTTCTTGAGGTAGAATTGACAAATAAAACTGTATATATTTAAAGTGTACAATTTGATGATTTAATATAAAATGAGGTTTTTGTATGCAAAGAATGCAGCAGTTTCCAAAGTGGATTGCATACACTCTGGGAGTGTGTAAAACAATTCATCGAAATATGGAAAGAAACTATTTGAACTCTTGTTTCCTATTTATCGATTATCTAAAATAAGAAGAAGAAAGGAATTAATAATCACAAATATTCAATAAATAGACTGTCACTGGTGCCCTCCCTTGGTGTGAATGTCAGACAACAAGGTGAGCTATACTGAGGGAGAAGGGCAAGTTCCAAGCAACAAAGGCTTGATGGCGGGACATTTTATGTTAGACCAGATTGTCACCTAGTTTTAACTAAATTAGTCCCAACAAAATGGACAAGTAGTTTGGAAAGACTTCTGCTGAGAAACCACAAATTGAAGATGGCCCTAATAATGTAGCACAAGCCAGCAACAAGAAAACCGTCGAGTTGACACTTCTAACTCTCAGGTCGAGCTTTTGGTCAGCCACATGGTGAGATAGACATTAAAAAACAATGATGCCGATAGCAATCTATTGATATCTGATAAGAAGTCAGCCAAAAATACTCAAAATTATCTAGTGGGCTATTTGAAATAAGGATTTTTCAAGTACCACATGATCTCACTTATTTATGGAATACAATGAACAAAATAAGCTGTTGATCAAAATAGATCCAGAGACATGGAAGTAGGTAATACACTGACAAACCTCAGAGGGAAGGGGGTTGGGGAGGATGAGAAGAGATAAACCAAAGAACTTACATGCATATATGCATAACCAATGGACACAGATAATAGTTCAGGGAAGTCAGGAGGAGGGTGGGAGTGGGGAGGAGGAGGTTAATGAGGGAGAAAGAGGGGGGCATCTGTAATAAGTTCAACAATAAAGATGAAAAAAAGGTTAAAAAATGCCACCCAAATAAGTGTGTATATGATGGAGATTTTGTACTACAGAAGTCACCCTTTATATGCAGTTTTGCTTTCCATGGTTTCAGTTACGTGTGGTCAACTGTGGTACAAAAATATTAAATAAAAAATTCACAAAAAAATTTAAAAGTAAGGATTTATAGCCAATATTTTTACTGACAGACTTCATGTGATGTGCATATCATTCTTGAAATTTAGGGATAATATGAAGATATTAAAACTATTGTTGATTTCAATTTTATCTATTTTTTATTTTCCACTTTGTATGTTTTATAAACATGTACATAATTTATAAATGAATAAATATACATATTTTAGCAGTAAGTATTCCATATATTTTTCCTGATAGGAGTGCAAGATCACTTTGAAGATCAGTGCTGTTGGTCACAGAATGTCGCTACCAGAGTCCTCAGAGTTCAGGTAAAATCAGGAGATTTCCACTGTATATTGGAAAGCAAATGCCCAGAGAGAAAGGGATCTTAGCCTAAGGTTAAAACTGCTAGTTAGTAACATCTCCTGGACTAGAAAACCTAGGTTCTAAAGAGTGAGATGACTTGCTTAGGATCACACTGCTAGTTAGGGATGGGGATTCTTAGTCCAGTGCTCTTCTTAATGGGACCAGAGTTGTCTTTGTATATACATATAAAGATATATAAAGGAGGAAAACTGAGAAAACACTGGAAACTCAAACCAAATTGAAAACCATCAAAGTAGAACCCGAATGTCTGTAGCCAGCAAGCTACTGAGACCCACCCATGCCTTTCATACTTACGATAACTCCCGGGTAATAACCTCCAACAGTCACATTCTGGGTCCTGGTGGTTGCAGCAAGTCCCACCGTGAGAATTAACACGGACACAATAAGCAAAGTCACGGTGACATAGATGGAGTTTCTCTTCCTCCGATTGAAGGCTCCTGAAAATACACAGAGAAACAGAAGTTGCTCCTTTCAGCTGGGGAAGGGATGGACAGAAAGAAAATCACTAGGAAGATTTTCCTTTCCTATTCCAACTGGTAACTGGGGTTATCTCTGGGGAGTGGAATTAGGGGGATGAAATAGACCTTTAGTTTTTTGGCAGTCATCGGGTGCCACATTCACAATAAAAATATATATTTCTAGTTTGAAAATAAACAACAAAAGAAATCTTACCTGTTACATAAAAATAAAACAACAATTTTTTTGTGCTTTCAGCATGCTATGAAATGTGTCATACCCACTTAGTAGAGTGTTTTTTAGGCTAAATTATAAGGCATATGATGAATAGGAAGTGTACGTGTGGAGGTTTTAAATGAAAATATTTTAAGGCCAATGTGCAAGTAAGAAGGTCTTTTTTCATAAGCTGGAGATATGAAATTTCATTTTCAATGTAAATATCAGAACCAAACTAGGAACTGGGATTTTTTTTCCATTTATTTCTGACATTTGCCACCTCATGTATAAACTTTAAAATGATGTGTTGGCAAGAGTTGTCATATAACAGATGTGTATAATAAAGCAAGTGTGTGGAGGCCATTAGTCTGCAAAAATATGTATCAGAGGAGATAGATGAGGAGGATTATAACTTATACACATATAAGCTTATGTGAGGGTGACATAAATATAAATGATGACAAACCCATTCTCCTGCTCAGTGCTTATCAGACATGATACTGCAAACCAATATTTTTTTTCTAAAAACAGGTTTATTAAGTCAGATATAAAAATGATATCCAGACTCGCTTTTCAATTTAATTATTTTTAAAGGAATGGAGCACTGCTCCACACTATGCATGCTTATCTCTGGCCTGGGGAGGGGGCTCTCAACAGGAAATACCAGGGATGAGTTACCCTATGAGAATCTAGTTCACTAGTGAGGAAGATGAAGCAATGGGGAGCCTTCTGATGGGGTTGCCTACCTAGTGGCTTGACTGTCATTTGTGGGCCTAAAGAGGCCACTTGGATTTGTTCATTGGACCCCATCATTCAGGGAGGCCTCACTGCAGCCTCAGGAAGCAGCTGCCAGATTGAAGCCCCCCAGACTGCACCACTGGGAAGAAGGGGAGAGAAGGGATGAAGAAAGAGGGAGGAAGGGAGGGAGAAAACCAGTGGCCTGGTGGTGGTGAGAGGGAGGGGCAGTTGCTGACCTTGCAGCCCCCAGCAGACCCCCTTCTATAGGTAAGAAAATCATCTAGAGTGCCACTCTGGGTTAGCCCCACCATCATGTTGTCTTCCTCAGTGCTGTCCCTGCAAGGCTCCAAGGGAGGTGGGAGGGACTGGCGGTCTTCCCTGGTATCAGTCTAGAAAGTGAGGGGCTTGACTCATCAGGGTAATTTCTGATAGGATATTAGCCTAAGACTATTTTATATTGAAATGTAGAAGTGGAACTATCATTTATAGGCACCCACATACTGAATGTCCTATTGCATCTGGGGAAGAGAGGTAAGAAGAGTTGGGAAATGAGGCTCCCCTCCAGAGGGGCCTAAGTACAGCCTCCATGGGAAAACAGAACGGACCAGTAGAGACACCTATGACACCAGGGACCTTTGTGTGAGAGGGCTACTTGGGATGCAAATGGCAAGCTAAGTGGTAAAGAAGCCTGGGAGAAGCCAGGCTGCAAGTGATGGGGATGGGGGAGCAGGTCTTGTTTCATCTGTTTACCTTGATGGTTAGTTATCCTTTCTCTGGATTTTGAGGGAACCTAAATGCTTCTCTAAACCAAGGCCCCTGTCTATTTGATGATAGATAATTCTCAGTGAATCCTCTAGTTGGCTCCACAGAGGGGCTTTGACCTAAACTTACCAACATTACCTCCCATTCCTGCCTGCCTTTCTCCTTTGTCATTCATATCACCTCTTCCCCAAATTGGCAAAAGAGAGTGAGGGAACATCTGGATATACCAAGGGTATCTTTGTGTTTCATGAAAGTGTCTCAGCACCTCACATGTAACCTTAGAGACTTAATTGGGGAAATGTATGTGTGCATGGTCTTTCTGATTTTTTGTATCAATTGCCTGCTCCTTCCCCACCAATTGGCTTTTGATCCTATTCACATTATAGCTCTTGGGTCTCTTTTGCAAATATCACTCTAACTCTTAAAAGCACAGGAGCCAGGTCAGAAAAGTGACTCAGCAAACCACATGGTGTCATTTAGAAAAAAAAATTGTTTTTTCCTGCTTTAGGACCTGAATTGAAAATCCAGTCAACTGAGAAGATTCTAGAGCTCCACCTTGGCCTCGCCTCCAGTTAGTATTTGCTTCGGGTAAAATTTCTAAGAAAACTCTCCCATCACTAATTTTAATATCTATTCACTGTCCCCTCCTCTTCCCCCATGTCACACCTTATTTTACACGATAAGGACCACATTTGTATAAAATAAAATTATTTCTAGTTGCACTAGTGGAGTGGACCCTTTTAAGGAATTCTGGGGGTGAAGTCTTTTGAAAAGTGAAGAACCACCCTTCCATTTACCTTTAGTGTCAATTTGACTTAAAAGTCACATCTACTTAGAGCAAGACACACTGTTTTCTGAAGGTGTGGCTTGGGCTCCTAAAAGGCAACTTACTGTGTTTGCTTAAGACATTTTCCTGGTGGTTGTTTTATTTTGGAAAGAAGTAGAGCCCTATTCTTATTAGGGTATAATTTGGGACCTGCCTTAGATGTTCCTATAAATAGAAGATCATCTGATTTCGATTTTGTTTAGTAAATGAACATACAAACTTCAGACACCATGAGGTACTTAAATAAAGCAGCAGGTACTTGAAAACAGTGCCTCTCACCTATCGAGCAGTCAATACTGTTGAATAAACAAGAGGCAACATCTCAGAATTGCTTCCTTTCTATAAACAAAAGCCATGGGGGGATAGTGTGAATAAATATGGGTTACATTTATGGAATTGATTTTTTAAATAGGGTGCACCTGATGGCTCCCCAGAACTAAAAGCCTTCTCACCAACTAGTGTCACAACCCCAATGTCTCTCAACTTGGTGCCCAGCATTTTCTGTTTCAACAACCACCACCACCACCCCTGTAACCAACATCAATGGGAGAGTCTGAAATCCCATCATTGGCATTGCTATCCCCCCTCTGTCCCTGGTAACCTCCCTGCAGAACTACTGCAGCTCTCCCTCTCCTCAGTGCCCCACCTCCACCCCAGATTCCTAAGGACCAAGATGCTCAGCTCTAGAAGCGCCTAATTATTTGCTGTATCCACTTTTCCAAATACAGCCAACTTCTCCTTCCTCTGGGTTTCCCTCCCTGGTCATAGTACCCCCACGCCACCCCTACACTGCAGTTTCTGAACCTTGGTCTTTCCCTTCCTCTGAAAACTGTTCAAAACTCACCTCATCCTCCAAGTTTTTCTTGACTAAGCTCACTCTACTGAAATCACTGATTATTTCATGTTCTTATGTTATTAAGTTACCTAGGAACATAAGTGCTACAATTATAACTGCTACAATTATAATTGTAATTGTGGGTCTGGTGCACAACCTATCTGATGTCCCCCAGTTTCAGGATTATGTATCTGACAGGAACCAAGGTGTGGGTTGCCAGCAGATAGGATGATTGTCTCTGCCCACTTGTGTTTTACTTTGTACATGTTCTTCATTACCCTTTTGATTATGTGTGTAATCTGAGAGCAGCGAGGATGGGGGCCCAGCATCCTGTCTTGTGCACTATGTTATTGATGGCTAATTCTCGAGGCTGATATTTTGAACTGATTAGGAGTTGCTTACCTTAGTCAACTTTGGCATACAGGGAGGGTCCCAGGAAGTTCCAGCCTTGAGCATCCATGGAAACTGGTGGCTGCCCAAAGAAGAGCCACAAGGCTCTGCCAATCACCCAAACATTTTCTTAAAGCACTGAAATATGCCCCCTCTTTGGCAAATCTTTGACCAGAAACACCCAATGGTTAATCACAAATGTGTTATTTGGGAGGGAAGGAGTGCTCTGCTGTAGTAGAGGTGCCTTAGCGCCTGGGGGTGGTATTGCTAAAAGGGAGAAGGGGGTGGTAGAAGGGGATGAAGGGGCACTGGAGTCAAAGTACCATCTTTCTATTGCAGGTGCCTGCTCTGCTCCAAGCTTTGGACTAACCGCTTATCCCCAGGCAGTCAGCAAGCCTTATAGTGCAGGCACCTTGGTTCAGTGTAGCTGTGTATTTTAAATTTTATTGTTTTGGCTGCAGTTGCATCTTGCCTGTAGGGTGAATTCCCTCAGAAATGTTGCCCTTGGAGGCTGAAACACAGAACCACCCACCCCCTTTCCACTCCACGATGCAAAGGAAGGCGGCATTGCCAGAGCTGAGTCAAGTGGGAGTAGCTCCTAAGTAACCTAGACGCTGATTCAGGCCTGGGCTGCATGGGACCAGTGCCAGGGAAATCCGGGGAGACTTTCCGTTCAAAGTGTGAAAACCCAGGGTTACCACTCCACTCAGGATTTTTTCGCGCCCTGGGTCTTTGTACTTTCTAAAGAGGGATGCATAGAGCGGACTCCAGAGCCCACGATTCTTTTCCCGCAGTGTCTGGACGAAACCCACTCAACTTCTTGTTGTGCAGACCTTTCAGGAAACGCAAGCTTGGCTGAGGGCTGCTGGGAGCCCAAGAAAGAATCTCTTCATATTGTTCCCCAACCCACAGAGCAGTGTGCCAAATAGCAATGTTTTAAACCCTGGGCTACTAACCTGCCTACTCCTTCGCAGGCAGATGGCCCCGCGCCGGGGGGCCTGCTTTGCAGGTGGTTGTGGTGGCTGCGGGCAAGGTGCTGTGGAACCCTCACACTCTTCACCCTAGCCCTCTCGCGCAGCTGCCTGGTGTCTGGGAGCCAAGGTAGCGTTGGCGCCACAGCTGGCCAAGGTGAGAAGTGCATTGTGTGTGCATGTGTGCCTGTGCCTGTTAGGGAGAGAGAGCTGGGGGGAGTCTGGTACCGCCACCCGGGTCCTTGGCCTCATTTGTACCACGTTGTAAATAACCAGGCCCTTTTCAAAAAAGGAGCAAATTCTTATACCGAATATGCAAAACCAATAAAAATACAGATATTTCCACCACCTAGGGGACTATACTTTCTGAGGCCCTGCGAGTGAACTAATTCTGTTGAGACCCTCTTTTGCCAGCAATAGGGAGCTCACAGAGGGGCTACAACCCTCTCCGGCATCTCCCCTCGAGATGTTCCCGCAAATTCTTGGGAGAAGACCCTAGAGACTGGATGGCAGAAATTCAGGGAGGAGGGATTTTGAAGAATGCTAAGTATGTTAGAAAGAGAGAATTCGATTTGGTTAAAGTGTATCCGAGGCAAATTTTAAGATTAGGTGGGATCATGGTTTGAATATCCCCTCCCGCTCTCCTGGGCTCCAAATTAATTTCTCTGCCTAGTGAAATCATAAGGCTTGGGAAGTAGCCTAACAGCTGAGGAGGCCTGGATTCCTGTTTTGTTGGTAACTACCAGAAAGCAGCTTTAAGGGGCAGCCAAGTTGGTGCCTGGAAGTAGCTGTCCCTGAGTTTTGATGAAGAAAGGTGTTGAACTGAATCAGGCTAGTGGGTCCCCCCTCCCCCTCTCTTCCACCCAGAGAGGGAAAGCGGGACTTCCGGAAGATGCGCACTCTTTCTTGTGCTCCCCCCCCCCCCCCCCCCCCCCCCGCCCTTTCACACTCAAACGCAAAATAGATTTCGTGTATTTGGAGCAGAATAGGAATCAAATTCAAGGAATGTTGATTCTGCACTGTAGACAGGGCTGGGATGTCTTGAGTGATTCTTCAAGAATTCCCCTCCTGCAAGCCCCCCTCTTTTCTTCTCCCACCCACCCATCCCCCAGAGTTGCGCAAACCTCCCCATCAGCGAGGTGCAAGTCAGCCCCCCTCCCACTGCAGCTCTGAATTTCAGGGCAGCTTCGACAGAGTTGAGAGGGGGCGAGGACCTTACTTCTTCTAATTATCCTTAGCCTAGAGCTCTTAGAAGTGACACGGACTTTGCAAAGAGGGAGCTTCGAGTGGAAAGCGAAGGCGCAGGATGCAGGGGAGTGTTTTGATTCCCAGGCAGCTGGGATTTACCACCGGCTGCAAGTCTGTCTGTAAACATACTTACACAAACACGCTCACACCTGCACTCCCGGCAAGGAGATTCTGACGCTAGTTGGGCGCTCCAATCTCAGTCAATCGCCTCCTCCCCCGCTGGGCCACTCCCCTGGGGCTCTGGTCCGAGACCCGGAGGCTGAGGTGCATGGACCCCTTCCTTAGCCCCTCTTCCCACTCCCGGCTCTCTGGGCGGTCTGGGAACTCGTAACACTGAAGGCAGCACACTCATCCCTCCCAGCCGCCGCCCCCAGGAAGGGCGGCTAGACTTACCCATAGAATCAGGCAGGGACACGTCGCTGGACCGCTGCTGAGTCAGGGACTGATGCATGGTGAAAGCTGCCCTATTGCCCTGGCTAACGAAGCTGCTTCAGGCACCCCAGCTCAGGGCGCCCCACAGAGCATCTTACTCCGCTGCTGCAGCTCCCAGTCCCTCTCAGAGCTGAGAGAGACTGCCAGGGTTTGCGAGCAGCAGCCCAATGCCGCCACCTCCTCCCTTCCCCTTTTCTCCCTCCCTCCTCTTCTGCCTCCCTCTGGCACTGGAGGCAGCAGCAGTGGCAGTGAGAGCGAGCGGCTTGCGCTTGCGCAGGACCCCCTTCCCTCCCCTTCGACCCCCACCCCCATCCTAGTTATCCACCTCTCAGCCTCCCTAGCCAGACAGGGAGCCGTTTTAGCCCCTTGGGGCTAGGGCTGCGTAGAGAAAGAGGGGGAGGCTACAGCCTGAGGCCAACCGGCCTTCTCTGTAGTTTGGAGAGAGGGTCTTTGGCAAGCATCCTGTTCTAGGATTTATAATTGGGGAGCCGAGCCAGCAGAGTCAGAGGTTCAGAGCTGAGAAACACACACACACACACACACACACACACACACACACACACACACACTTGTGCAGATTTGGTCATAGTGCTTCCAGAATGACATAATGGAGCTGGAGATGGTCCAGAGAAGGGCCACTCTATAATCAAGGGGATAGAGGAGGGTGGAGGGGACTGCCATATGAAGATAGATTAAATAAATGCAAACACTTTAGTCTAGAAAGATGAAGGCTAGGAAGGAATGTGACCAGAGTGTATAAAATTATACAGAGAGAGAGAGAGAGGGAGAGAGAGAGAGAGAGAGAAAGAGAGAGAACACAGCCTTATTCACCAATTTGAGAATTCTAGAACCAACAGCAGCACCCAAGAGCCAGAAAGAGATTCAGCAAAAACAAATGTGACCTTGTATCAGCTCCGCAGTTTGTGCTCTTGTTGAAGGAGTTTTATATTAAATATCTCATTTTCCCATCTTAGCAGCCAGGCAAGGCAGAAAGAGGAGGTATCAAAAACCCCATTTTACAGATGAAGAACATGAGTCTCAGAGAAGAGATGAACATTTCCTGTAGTCACTCAGTTGGTAAGTGACAGAGGTGGGATTTGAACCCAGATCTGTTGGACTCCCAGATCAGTGTTCTTCCCATATGGCAGCTGAAAAGAAATATTACTCTATATGCCATATAGAAAATGTAAGCAATTCATTAGCCCCAAGAGTGGCAACAGGATGAAAACACAAGGAGCTTTGGAAAGAGTGAAAAAGTCATGGCTGAGACTGTGGATTACTAAAGGAAACTGGGGAGGAGGTGGGAATGTCCTTGATCTTGGAGAACAGCCAAGTCCTTCCGCAACCCGTCCTTTTGGACCCCATTAGGATATTGGGCTGGAAGCACTATGTTGTTAGCCCAGAAGTGTGGTTCTGATGTCCTCAAAACAGCTGCAGAGCAGGATGAGGCTTCGTTGAAGTGCCCCAAGACATCTACCTGGTGGCCAAGGGAAGTGGAAAGTGAGGAAAGGGATAACAGTGGGTGCCAGCTCTTTCTGGAAACTCAGCCCTGTGCATCCCAGAGAACCGACCTGTTTGAAGGCATTTATTCTGTTTCAGTGAGAGCTCCCAGGTTCCATTTGCCAGGTCTCCTTCCAACTACTTTCCCCTGATTATTGCTGCAGCCTTTTTTTCCATGACCCACCTGCCCCCACACTTCATAAAAAAGAAAATGCACCTCAGAACTGAGTATAAACATTTTTGAGAGTTGATGAAGAGTACTTGGTTTTTCCCATCTCTGGTTTGCTAATCTACTCTGAGGCTTTGTTTCCTTTTGCAGGAAATGGAACCAAGGGCCTTCACCATTTCCCATCTTCCAAAGGAAGAAAAGATGCCTCCTGAAAGGAAGCTCTTTGTAAAGAATTTGGGCACACCCCAGGGGCCAGGCTGAATGCTATGTCAGGTACTGTTAGCAGCCCAACACTATAGATGTGATTTAGAAATCTGTGATATAAGTCCTAGATAGAGACAAGATGCCCACTGTTGTAGAAGTGTGTGTCTTAAGCATGCTTGGCTTATGAGCTCCACAAAGGCAGAGAGAAATCCCATATTTACACTCTTAACATGTTTGTTTTCAGGTCTGTTTACTTATCTCTTCCTTCTCCCACTCTAAATAGCTCATATATTTAATGTAAAAAAATGACAATCAGCCCTGAATTCTCAGGAGTACTTCATAATTAACTGATTTTGTTTCTGTGAAAGTAGCCTGGAAGAAAAGAGGGTTTTATACAGGCTGGAGAAGACTGTTTTACACCTTCCTTAGAGATTTTTGGCTTCCTTATAGCAAGCATATAGCTAGAGATTCCTAAAGAAGACAAATAGAAACTTGTTACCCTGCTGGTTTCGAGGGAAAGGATGAGGCCTTTTCTAGAGAGAAGCACATTATTCATTAATTGACACAGAGAGCATATGTAATTTGACCTTTATAATCAAAGTCATATACTAATGAGGTGCCCTTAATGTGGGCGAGCCTTGCTTATGCTACATCTGTATTCCTGAATCCTGCATGAAGATTAAACAGTATTTTAGGGATTGCTATGGGAGCTGGCTATTTAAAAGAACTACGAAATGTATTATGTCCTTTGGACTGTCTCTTAAGGTACCTTATGGGACTTAGAACACAGCAGGCTCTCAGTCAAGTTAAAAATGACTTTGAGGTCCAGTAGCAATGACAATAGCAGCAGCTGTGGCATCTCAGAGGGTAGTAGCAGTCTTCTCCCCAGGGATGGTATGCTTGTTTGGATAGAGAAGCTGAGATAAGGGGAAGGACCAGAATAGGAACTCGGGTGGAAAAACTTACATTTCAACTAAGCCTGGCACAAAGACCCCCTTTCCTAACAACAACAACAACAAAAGTTTATTTTAACTCAGAATGAGCTGGACAATTTAAAAGCAGAGGCAAGTTTTTATGAGCTCCATTCTGACTTTATTCAAAACACATAATAGATTCATAGCAAAACTCATAGGCAAGCCACCTAGATGAAAGAACAGGTCTTTCATGCCAGTGAAGGCTACTATAAAACACACACACACACACACACACACACACACACACACACACACACACACATATCCCAGCCATTCTCTCTCTACCCTGATTATCACCACCCACCTCTCAACCCCAGACTTGAGTTGACCAAGGATGTAAAGGAAGCTTCAGAATAATGGAGAACCTCAAAGAATCTAAACACTCAAATTGAGGTTGGAGTTGTACCCACTGGACTACCTTAGGTTAATACCTGGCACCTGGTGCCCATACCACAAGCAGCTGAATCTTAACTGGGGAGACTGAGGAGAACCATGGTTCATGGTGTGATTTCAGCCATGAAACTTGACTGGTTCCTAATGTTAGCTGGGCACTTTCTTTGGGGACCAGGAAAATCACCATAGCATCAGGGAGCAAAACTGCTACTTGTCTTTACTTTGTTATTGTTTTCTTTCTATTCTGTGACCTGCTTCAGTTACCAAACACTTTATCATAAGTGTTTTCCAATACCAATAAGAAATTGATGACATGATTTTAAATGGATGGAGCATCACTTATTTATCATTCTCTATTATTGAATATTTTAAAGGTTTTTAATTTTTTAACATTACAAATAACGTAATGAACTAAATTTTTGTATCTTTATTACCATAGGATACAATATTATGGTGGAATATTAGTTCAAAAATTCCAAATATATTTTTCTAATTAAAACATTTTTTTTCAACATGTATGTAGTGAAGTGTCTTAAGTGTACATATCAATGATGTTTTTTTACATATAAACACACTTTTAACCATCCAGATCAAATGCTGAACAGCCCTGGTCGGGTTTCTCAGTGGTTAGAGCGTCAGCCTGCAGACCAGAGAGTCCCGGGTTTGGTTCCTGCTAAGGGCACATATCTTGGTTGCAGTTTGTCTCCAGCCCCGGTTGGAGTCATGTGGGTGGTAACCACTCAATGTGTCTCTCTCACATCAATGTTTCTCTCTCTCTTCCTTCCTCTCTCCCTCCTACTCTATCTGAAGATAAATGCGGTGAGGATAAAAAAAAAAGGTGTTGAACATTTTCAACATCCCAGATGGCTCCTTTGAGCCCCCTTCTCAGGCAATAACCCTCCTGGAGATAACCACTATTGTGATTTTTATCATCACAATATATATATATATATATATATTTTTTTTTTAATCCTCACCCGAGGACATTTTCCCATTTTTTTGTTCAGGTAGAGTGGGAGGGAGAGAGAGGAACAGAGAGAGAGAGAGAAACATCAATGTGAAAGGAACACATCGAGTGGCTGCCACCCGCATGACCGACCAGGGCCGGGGACAAACTGCAACCGAGGTACGCGCCCTTAGCGGGAACCGAACCTGGGTCTCTCAGGACCGCAGGTCGACGCTCTAACCGCTGAGCCAAACCGGCCAGGGCTATCATCACAATATTTTAAGGCTTTTAATACATATTGGCAAATTGTCCTTCAAAATGTTTATAGCAAAGTACACTCCCATCATCAACAAGTGAAAGTGCCTGGTCCTTATACTCTTTTGGCTTTACCTGGCAAAGGAGATGTGTTAGCACTTAAGACACACCTAGTTACTTAAGTCAGCAATAGGCAGGTCAGTCAAGAAACCACACTGGAGTTCAGCTGGGCACTAGGCAGCCAGTGGGAACCACAGATCTAGGAGCCAGAGGCTGAGTGCAGTCTCAGTTAGTAGGCAACACTATCATAGTCCACAAGTACCTTAGAGACCTGCAACTTCTCAGTTGTTTAATCCTATTCATTATTGTTCTCTGTTGCACATACCCCAAATCTTTTTATGTAGCTATCAATTTCTCTAATGATCACTTAGTTATGCCTGGTACATAGTAGGCACTTAAAATACGTAGTAAATATGTGGCACGTTTACTCTATTGCTTTTTTCCTGCTTACTAGAATAAAACATGACACTGTAAAAATTTCTCAAACTGCAGAGGTACACAGTGCAGCTAATTACCCTCTCCCACAATTCTCCTCCCTGGAGATATCAATGATTTTTCAGTTTGGAATGTATGTTTTTTTATTTCTTTCTCCATATATACTTTTACTTCTGTTTATTTGTTTTGGGAGTTAAATACTCACTTCTTTTAAAAAGTAAACATATTCATCCTGGCT